GGGGAGATATGTCCATGAAGAGGGGCATAAAATGAAGAATTGTTCCTCCCCTTCCTATGTAAGACACTCAACGGCTCCCTTCAGTGCTTACTTGTTGTGCTCTACTGTTTAAGTTTGGTTGCTCCTGTGCTCTGTATCTGTTTATCAGTGGCATTCTCTCTGACTTTGGTATCTGACCCTCCATCTGTTTATCCACCCAAGAACCTATGCTGCATGGACCAACCTTATTTTCTACCTGACTATGCCTCTGGATTTTCCTTATTTTTCTATATCGTTACCTGTGCCATTTTGCATATTGAGTTCCTGGGCTCCTAATCTCTGACAAGTCCCTTCTTGCCTTTCCACACATAGTCTCTGTCTTTCAGGCTATGCTGCCATTTGTATTTATTTTTATTTTTCCCTTTGAGATCTTCGTATGTGTTCCCTGCTCTAAATGCCACTGCTATGCTAAGTCAGCTTTGATAGATTTCAACATTTAGAGGTACGGCACAGAGTTGAAGCTACAAGGATGGCTAAATACACTTGAGCTGTGAATGTTATGGGAGTTGTGCCTATTCTCACATCTATCCGGTATGGAAGTTCAAAATGCAGAATGAGCTTGTAAGAAAGGAAATCATGGAACCAGTTGAATTGCAGAAAGAATCCAGTGGGAGAAAAAGGACAGAAAAACAAGAACTGAGATTTTCACTATAGAGAGTAACAGTGATTTATCCAACATTAAACACTAAGATTGCAAATGAGTTATTGGAAGGCTTAGAAGACGTGTATGAAAGTAGTAATTCTACATGAAAGACTGTTCACTATAGAAACATAGAATGTTATGGCAGATAAGAATCATTCGGCCCATCTAGTCTCCCCAATTTTCTAAATACTTTCATTAGTCCCTGGCCTTATCTTGTATTTAGGACAGCCTTATGCCCATCCCACACATGCTTAAACTCCTTCATTGTGTTAACCTCTACCACTTCAGCTGGAAGGCTATTCCATGCATCCACTACCCTCTCAGTAAAGTAATACTTCCTGATATTATTTTTAAACCTTTGCCCCTCTAATTTAAGACTGTGTCCTCTTGTTGTGGTAGTTTTTCTTCTTTTAAATATAGTCTCCTCCTTTACTGTGTTGATTCCCTTTTTGTATTTAAATGTTTCTATCATATCCCCCCTGCCTCGTCTTTCCTCCAAGCTATACATGTTAAGTTCCTTTAACCTTTCCTTAAGTTAAGTTTTATCCTGCAATCCATGAACCAGTTTAGTAGCCCTTCTCTGAACTCTCTCTAAAGTATCAATATCCTTCTGAAGATACGGTCTCCAGTACTGCGTACAATTATCCAAGTGAGGTCTCACCAGTGTTTTGTACAATGGCATGAGCACTTCCCTATTTCTACTGCTAATACCTCTCCCTATACAACCAAGCATTCTGCTAGCACTTCCTGCTGCTCTATTACATTGTCTGCCTACCTTTAGTAGTCATCAGAAATAATCACCCCTAAATCCCTTTCCTCAGATGTTGAGTTTATTAAATATTCTGTACTCTGCCCTTGGGTTTTTACTTCCACAATGCTTTATCTTGCACTTATCCATATTAAATGTCAGTTGCCACAACTCTGACCATTTTTCTAGTTTATCTAAATCATTTGCCATTTGGCTTATCCCTCCTGGAACATCAACCCTGTTACATAACTTAGTATCATCAGCAAAAAGACATACCTTACCATCAAGACCTTTTGCAATATCACTAATAAAAAATATTAAAGACAATGGGTCCAAGTACAGATCCCTGAGGTATCCCACAATTATTATTGCCATTTATATAGCGCCAACAGATTCCATAGCGCTTTACAATATTATGAGAGGGGGTATTTAACTATAAATAGGACAATTACATGAAAACCTACAGAAACGATTGGTTGAAGAGGACCCTTCTCAAACCAGCTTACAGTCTATAGGAAGTGGGGTATAAAAAACATTATGGCGGGAAATAGCAATCAAATAAGGTGGGAGTGAGGCAGAGCTGGAGGAGAGAGTAGAGTGCTGCCCTTTAGGAGAGAGCAAGAGACAATTATGTAAGGTAAAGGTTACTCTGGGAGGCCATATGCTTTCCTAAAGAGATGGGTTTTAAGGCACTTCTTTAACGATTTGAAGAGTAGGGGAGAGTCTGATGATGATAGGCAGGCTATTCCATAGGAAGGGTGCAGCCCGCGAGAAGTCCTGCAAGTGTGAGTCGGCCGTACGGGTGCGAGCAGCGGACAGGAGAAGGTCACGGGCAGAGCAGAGAGACCGAGAAGGGGCATACTTATGGATCTGTGAAGTTATAGGAGGGGCTAGAATTGTTCAGTACTTTATAGGTATGGGTTAGCACTTTGAATTGACCCCTATAGGATCCAGGAAGCCAATGTAAGGACTGACAGAGGGGTGAGGTGTGAGTGGACCGACTAGAGAGGAAAATTAGTCTGGCAACAGCATTCATTACAGACTGTAGCGGGGCAAAAAGGCTTTTGGGGAGAGGGTTACAAAAATCCATGAGGGAAATTACTAGAGCATGGACAAGCTCCTTGGTAGCATCTTGTGTAAGAAAGGGGCGGATACAGGCTATGTTTTTAAGATGGAATCTACAGGATTTGGCAACATACTGGATGTGAGGTTCAAAGGTGAGGCCAGAATCAAGTATGACACCAAGACAGCGCGCAGGCTTCCAGAGATGATGCCTCTTCTTAGAAGATTCTGCAGGGCTTGGTTGCAGGGTTGATCATTAACCCTTTAAGGACCAAACTTCTGGAATAAAAGGGAATCATGACATGTCACACATTTCATGTGTCCTTAAGGGGTTAAAAGAACTCTATAGTCACTAAAATAACTTCATCTTAATGAAGCAGTTTCTGTGTATAGATCATGCCTCTGAAGTTTCACTGCTCAATTATCTGCCATTTAGGAGTTAAAATACTTTTGTTTCTGTTTATGCAGCCCTAGTCAAACCTCCCCTGGCCGAGACTGACACAGCCTGCAAGAAAAAAAATGGTTTCCTTTTCAATTAGATGTAACTTACTTTAAAGGGACACTATAGTCACCAAAACAACTTTTGCTTAATAAAGCAGTTTTGGTGTATAGATCATGCCCCTGCAGTATCATTGCTCAATTATCTGCCATTTAGGAGTTAAATCACTTTTTATTTATACAGCCCTAGTCACACCTTTCTGCATGTGACTTACACAGCCTTCCTAAACACTTCCTGTAAAGAGTCATCTAATCTTTACACTTCCTTTATTGCAGTCTGTTCGATTTAAAATTTCCTATGACTTTCTCGGTTAATAGTTTCCTAGATCCATCAGGAGCCTCCTGTATGTAATTAAAGTTAAATGTACAGAGCAGGAGATAAAAACCTTTAAAGGACCACTATAGGCACCCAGACGACTTCAGCTTAATGAAGTGGTCTGGGTGCCAGGTCCCTCTAGGATTAACCCTTTCTGCTGTAAACATAGCAGTTTCAGAGAAACTGCTATGTTTACAAATGGGTTAATCCAGCCTCTAGTGGCTGTCTCATTGTGATTTTCACAGTGAGAAGACGACAGCATCCATAGGAAAGCATTGAGAATGCTTTCCTATGAGACCATCTGAATGCGCAAGCAGCTCTTGCCGCGCATGTGCATTCAGCCGATGACGGGAAAGGAGGAGGAGAGTCCCCAGCGCCGAAGGAGCATGGAGCTGGAAAAAAGGTAAGGGATTAACCCCTTCCTCCCCCTAGAGCCCGGCGGGAGTATGTTTTCCTGGCACTATAGTGGTCCTTTAAACAATGAGTACTTATTTCAATGATAATATATTATGCTGCATACAAGTGTGTGACAAAACGATCATAATCACAAGGCAAATTGACATAAGTACAGTCAGTAATATTTGAATATGTGACTTTTAAACAAAAGGTAGGTGACATGAAATTAGCATTCCTTAATGACAGTTGTTTAAGAAGTTTACACACATTTAATGTGTTTTTAACAGATCAGATTAGTTTTAGTCTTTCAGGTTTTTATATTCAATCAGATGCGAGAATGAGAAAGGGATTAGGGAAAACCTGGCGAGGGACATAAGGAGGATAGAAAAGGGGGGGGGGGCAATTAATTTTCTCTAGAGTTGGTTTGCCTTGGCCCATTTGACAATCTTAATTTTTTAATTTTTTTTTTTTTACATTCTTTATTTTTGCAGCGCAGATAAAAAGACACAGGCTGGAGTAGACACATCAATATAATCACGATTGACAGTAAAAAAAACAGTAGCAAATGTCATAAATACTGCACTGTTTTTTGTTGTTTTTTTTTTTAAAGGTAAAGAAAGTAATCAGGTATTCATAACATGTGAAACAGTATGGCATGGGAGATATAATGCTTAGAAATAAAACTGTTTGGAACATGCCACATTAAGTAAAGTCCCCTGGACCCCAAATAAACAGGTACACAGTTAGAGGAATAAAAATTGGATAATCTTAATTTTAATAATGACAAATAGCAAATATATTGCATTCTTTCTTCACGGCACACCAGCAAAACAACAGTAAAGGAAATAACCAGACAAAAGTAACATCCATAAAAAGGTTGAACCACTTTAACACTTTCTCTTTATTAGTGGGGAAATAATCCAGAGAACAGGAACAAGACAGAAAACTTCAAACCATCTAGATACTCTTCATCAACAAACTGACCTTTAATGGAAGCTCCCAAACCAAAGTAAGCTACACTGCAAGAAAAGTCGAGAAAAGCCATTAAAGTAATAATAATAGGGGGGGGGCGTGGCCGACCAAGAGACTGTACAGACGTGTTTTGTGGAGCTCTGCTTCACCTCGACGAATATACACAATTTACAACGACAATTTCACCAGGAGAGAATCCTCCACAATCCTATCCCACCAGAGGCAACATGGGGCGCAAGCACCGCAAATTTCAAGCACATGAAATCCCCACGCAAAGAGACATAAGGCTCTCGTTTGAGCAGCCTGCCCTGCCAGCACCGCCGTAAATGGCGCCCTTGGAAGGTCGCACAGCAGATTGTCGGAAGACTCCACTCACCTCTCCAAGACGGGGCGACCTGCACCGGGAAGCTGAATCTGATGAAGATTCGTCCCCAGCAACCAAGGGGGCCATTAAACACATGCTCCTGGAGATGCGCCAAGGAAATGGGGGCTATACAGAACAAGCTCCAAGTGGTGGAGTAGAAAGGCAATGCCCGGGAAGCCCAGCTGCAAGCCACTGAACATACCCAGGACGGCTTAACCCAGCAGGTACAAAGACTACACCGCTCTGTGGCGATCCTGGAGGCTAGATATAGACGCCGCAATATACGCCTGAGGGGGATACCTGAGGCCGTTAAAGGGGACGCACACTTACCATACGTCCAAAAGCTACTTACATCTATTGGCTTGCAGGGACAAGCAGACCCCACAATGATTACTGCGGCTTTCAGGGTAAGGAAGGCTCTGTCGGCGCCAGAGGCAGCCCCTCGAGACACCATAATAGTCACTGTACGAACGGCCATCATGACACGCTCCAGAGAGATGGGAAGCACGGAATTTGAGGGAGCTACTATCCTGTTCTTCAGTGATATCCCTTTTGCTGCACTACTAGAAAAAAGAAAACTGGCCCCAATGGCCAAAAAACTGAGAGACAATTCAGTGAGGTACCACTGGGGAGCTGACGGAACCCTGATGGTGTCCCACGGCGGCCAAATCCTCACACTTACCTCAGATGAGGATCCAGAGAAACTAAGCTGCTGCATGGCACGGGAGAACTCGCCAGCAAAGATGAGCACAAGCAACTACAAAGGAGGAGAGAGGGGAGCAGCAGGGGAAGACAAATTGCGAACCCACCTCAGGATTAACAGCCTGGGAGTCTGCAGACTATGAACATCGGAACGCCGGGAGAGCAGTGTATACCCGAGCCACTAACATAGAACCCAATCCCTGGGACTGCCCTGACTTCTGATCCCCTGTCACCACCCCGATCCCCAACCCACACACAAGTTCACCTAGCACCGGCACTGTACCACAGACTTGCCAATACTCCTGGCACACGCTAGAGGGCAGCACCACCTGGACTAAGAGTCACTGGAGTATGCACAGAGTGCACAATAATGCCCCATACCCAATATATTGTTATGACATGCAATCTTTCCTAACATTAATACTCTGATGTGAATGTTTGCCTAAGTGCATAAAATTCTATAAAATACAAATTACAAAAAAAAGCAATAATAATAAATTGATGTGCCCCCATACACACATACAGTGCCTCCCATACACACACTGCCACAAACACACATACACTGCAAGCCTCACACACACTGCCCCACACATACACTGCAACCCTGACATACAGTGCCGCCCTCACACACTTCACCGCTCACACACAAACACACACTGCACCTTTCACACACACTTCACCCCTCACACATACCACTGCTCCTATGTCCTATACCCCCAGCAGACCACAGGTAAGTTGTCAAACTGTTCTTAAATGGTTTGACTACTTACTCTGGGATTGGATCCTTGCACTACTGGCACCATAACTACTAAACTGAGCTGTAGTGGTTATTGTGCCTGGATTATTTCTTTAAATAATCTACAAGTGCCCATCCCGAGATCAGGCTCTGGATCCGCCACTGGCTCAGAGTGCACCTGCAAGCAAAAGTTTGTAAGTCCCCTCCCTACAGTCTGTAACTTTCCATCTTTGGTCACTCCTTCTCCATCCTCGGCTCAAAGCGCATGTTTATATTGGATTATTCTCTTTTTCACAGCTTTGCCTTCATAAATTGTGCCTTAGTATAAACTGTGCCACAGACTTATTTCCTTCTGGTTCTCTACCACACAACATACTGGTACACTAGTGATGAGCCCCCTGCTCGCATTAAAATATGCACTTTAGGTTCCAAATCTCTATCCCTTCAGAAAATCATTGAAAATCCACTTCTTCAGGAAAGCATATTAGAGTGTTAATAGTATTCCCTCCTCGCGCCTGTATTCCTCTACTGCAACTATCATTAAAATAATAATAATAATAATAAATAAATAAATACAAAACACTAAGCTCTCAATTAATACTATTCTAGCAACCTACATTTCTATCTTACCCCTACCTTTTGTGTCGCTATACCCCACTTCCTGTAGCATGAAAGCTCACTTGAGAAGGGCCCTGAACCCTCTCTGTTCCGGTGCGTTCAACTCGTCTGGTTGCAAATACATCTGTTAGTCCACCCATTGTACAGTGCTGCGGAATTTGTTGGCGCTATATAAATAATAATATTAATAATATAGCGTTTGAATCTCTGAAATAAGGTGACTAGGAGAGCAGTTATTAGCAAAGCAGGTGAAGAAAGGGCAGGTGAAGAAAGGTAAGGTCTGTTTACCTAATTTTAAGGAAGTAGGTGGATTCTAAAATGATCTTACTATAGTTGTTCTGACTTTCTCCTCTAGATCTTGCGGTTATTTATTGGATCAAGCTTGACAAGCTCTGGAAAGATTTTAAGCACCCTGGATTCCAAACGATAACGGCATTAGTGCTTTCTTGCTGGGTACATGATCTATGCATTCTAAGAGCAAATCTGTATCTTGTGACTGTAACTCCTGAAACATATGGCTGTAGAGAGACTTTAATACCAATTACAACCATGAAATAGGTTGCTTCTGGCAGAGTAAAGCTCTGGGCACCCTAAACATTCTTCTGCGCTATACATATGGCTTGCATTAGAAGGTTGAGCTCGCACCTGAAAGACCTGCTTTTATAAAATCACATTTTAATTCTATCCCTATTGCTGGGGGAAAAAAACATATTGCATGATGCTTGGTACAAAGACCAGAAGGATGGGATATCAATAAAATATTAAAGTGCATTTTAAATTGTGTACAATTGGTTACAGTTAGCTAAACTGGGAAATGCTAAAAGTATCATTCCAGCCCCCAAATAATTTAATCTCATTGAAGTCATTGTGGGGTCTGGAGATCCTAGGTACCATTTTACCTTATTGTGTAACTCAGGAAACTGTCTACCTGGCACCTATCTACTATGCCATTTGGTCTCCTCCGGCTCGGCGGAAGATATTTCTTTGGGCGCCAATGATAGGCTGAGAGTGTTAATTGATGCTCTCAGCCTATCACTGGCCACCCATTGAGAGGAATGCTTTAGATGCATACTTATAGTCAGATTGTGCCTCGGATCTGAGGACCACATGACAACTTCAAAAACCTACCTAAGGAAAGATGGTGTGACTTTAATGAGATGACGTTGTTATGTGCTGCCTTGATCCTTTAAAAATATTTTACAAAAGTATATAATTCCAAAAAGAATGGTGGATACAAGAAAAATTTACAAAACAGAATAATAGATTTTAACCATGTTAGTAGTATAAGTATGGGGTTATTCTGAAGATGACACAAGATCAAATACTAACTTTTCTATGAACTCAAATAGTTAGGGATAGTTATAGATGAATGGAAACCAAAAAAAAAAAAAATTACACAAAAATTACACATTCTGTTGTCGACTTGAGTATCTACATAAAAATAGAGATACAAAACTACAGAAATATCCATAACATATATTTATGTTTATATTAAATAACTTTGGTTAGACCAAACATGATAAAGCTCCTCTCGTATTTATGCAAATTCAACAAGCACTATTGTGCAAGTGGGACCTTGGGAAAACGAGACACAATAATTTTTCCCAAAATTCCCAGGAGAAAAGTATAAATACAAAATAGGATTCAGAACTTTTAAGAACTGTAGTAAAATCCATGCAATAGGTTTGTAGACCAAAGGACAATTGTGGTGTCAGGGTTCTCTTTTTTAATTTTTTTATATTTATTACCCAGTATGAATTTTTCGTCCTGTAAAGAGGGTGCCTTTGTTCAATAACTTAATGTTTTTGGAGGAGAACCTTTATAAATTAGCCTTATGAAAGCTAATGATCTTGGCCAAATTCTACACCCCGAGCATTCCAAACATCCGATAGCATCCAGCAGCAGCAAGATAGTAGAGCAATGTCTCAGATATCTCGAGCAATCCAAGAGTGGAGCCATACATTCTTTACTAGGATTTATGAATAAACTCTTTAGACTTCAGGCTATAAATGTCCACAGACCGAAAAGTCAACCAGTTCTTAAGGAAAACAGATGATATGCCATAATATTAGTAGAATATGCTTGACAAAGACCTCTGGGTCGAAACATTGCTGTTGTGGTTCCAATAAAGTGCCTGTCTTGAACCAAGGAGTGCCTGGACCTCTTTCATTTTATAATATTAGTAGAACACCATCTTCAATAATTTTAGCAAGGGTATATCTGGGGAGAAAACAATGGCCTATAGTGGTGGATAAATATATACATACTATAGTTACATATATCCATGTAACTATATCAAAGTGTTTTGTGCTTTTTTTTTTGCATATGTATCCCGTAAACCTGAAATAAACTAAATTGAATGGAAAGCAAAATAATAAAATGAAGCTAAAATATGCACACCTTGATTGCAGGTGAATCTAAATACTGAAATAAATCTCTGTAAGATATATATTAACACCCAGCATCTATGGAGTGCAAGTATATCACGGTGCAAAGGAACTTTGATTAATTTCCTATTATCAGACCAGATTCTTTACACCGGAATATTTTGGCAACACAGACGCTGATACTGTAGTGGTGCTATGCTAAATGTATAGGTCTTTTACATGACTATCCCAAAATATTTACATGCTGCCTTTCAAAGATTAGCTGTTTATACAGCCAATAGTGAGACATGATAGGCCCTATGCCAGATACCCAATTAAACACCTTTTCTCTTTTTTTTTCCCAAATACGTTGTGAGTGCGTTGGATTGTAGAGAATGAAATGGGACCGATTCAGAAAGAAAAAAAATGAAATTTACAAAAACAAAACATCAGTTTCTATGCTATCAAAACATTGCATGAAAATACAGCACAAAATAGGCTTAAGTCACGATCCTGTACATTTCACAGAAAGGCTGGTTTTCTGTAAAGAATGGAAAGTTATTTGTTTTGAAGGTCTTTCAATTAACTTTCCATAGCTGCCACATTAGAAAAGAAATACAGATGAACTCCTCAATGTAATCCTCCTGCAATTAGATATGCCTAATTAAACTGTCTCATTTGGAAAGTTTGATGATACTATTTTATTTGTTTAGACCATACTGCATACAGCTGTGTATGCCATGTTTCTTTCTTTGTGTCTTTGTCACAAGCACC